ACAATTCTGAATAGCCTGACAGATTCCGGGAAGTCTGCCAAGGACTGGAAAACAGTGCTATTAACCCTTTTGAATCTGGTTTTGTTCTTGTTTGAATATTTTGAATTCTGAAACCTTGTCTTCTCATCTATGAATATAGGTGAGACATAACAGCTTTCTATATAGCTTCTCCCCTCTTTTCACTCTCTTAATTCTATCTTATTTATTTCATCTCAATTTAATCATTATGCTTGTATCATTTGTCTGTTCTATTTCAATTATCTATTATCTTTTCTCATTAACACAAAATTTCTCCTGTAATCACTGATTGAAGTATGACGCCTTTATATCTTTCCCCTAAATTTAACACTTAAAATAATATATAATTTTCATTCTGATTCTGCTTAGTACATTCTAAAACTACATACTATATTTTAAAATAGGAAAATAATAAGTTTATAATATAATTAAAACAATAATCCATAGCAAATTAAACTCTATCATTAAATCTTAAGCATTTTACACATTCCTTTTAATATTTTATCCCATTTTATAATCATATAATGTTCCAGTTTTCTAACATTATTTCGAATACAAATACAACAATACAGTCTTATGTACTTTTGCAGAATCTCTTTTTTAATTATATTTTTACCCATTATCTCTGAATAAATCCTGTTTCTTTACATCTTGTTTCAAACCTTTGTAACTTCTCTTCCCTTTTTCCCCTCCTTTCTTCTCCAATCTAGCCTTTTTACCCCCCCGTCTCTTGATCTCCACCCTCTTAATCTCCACCCTCTTCTGTATTCCTCTTTTATGTTGCTTTCTGACATTGTATCGATTTTTCACCTTATTTTTCTCTTTTTTGGTTGCTTTTTTAAAGTCTTAAATTCTCCATTCTCTTTCCCCTCTTTCCCTTTTCTTCCCCAACTAAAGTTGTTTGTTCATTAAAGATGGCTTCTTCTTCTTCATTCCAACCTTCTTGTTCTTGTAATTGCTGATAGGTAGAAATTGCCATTTCTAAAAAATGAAAAACAGATCCAGAAGAACCCTTCCCTTCTTGTTCCTCTTCTTTTAGCTTTTTAAATTCCATTTTCAGTTCATCAACAAGTAATGCCATTGTGAAAAAGTTTTTTAAACAACCCAAAAGTTTTTAATCTTTCAAATAATAATTTCCAAAGGTCCCAAAGTCACCAAGCAATCTAAATACACACAAACTGTTTCATTTAGCACTTTCTTCTTTTTATACTTTCTCTTCCTGGGGTACAGTTCAATTGCAAAGTTCCAAAATGTATCTTTTAGAAGTCTTGTTACAATTTAACTCTAGTCTTATAAGTTCCAAGCAGCCTCCTCCAGAAAAATCTTAATATTAATTCTTTTCCTCTCCCTTCCCACTTATAGCAAAAAAAATATATATTTTTTTCAATGTTCAGAAATCTTTAATGTCCCCTTGGCTTTAACTTTCAAATTTAATTACCTGCTGGTGCCAGAGCAGGTTTTTCTGATTTCGATCTGCTATCACCGTAAGGAAGGAAAGAGAAAAAACAACCTTTCCCTTTTAACTTTCATCCACCACTTTTCCCAATCTTCTTTGGGAACAATGTATCTTTGATGAAATTAAAATTCCAGGGTATTTAAATGCTACTTATTATCCCAGTCAGCCAGAACTTTCACTTTCTCAGCTTCCTCCTGCACATTCTTGTCTGGATGAAAGCTTCTTTGTGGCGGCCATTGCTGACTGCCGCTCCACCGCCTTCAGAAAAGGGAGTTAAGCCAGCTGAGGAGGGGGGTTGCAATTCCCCCGGACCCCTGCTGGATCTCCCCTATCTTCAGTTACCTCTACAGGGTAACTATTAGCCCCCAAATCAGCCTGGATTGGGGGCACTCCAGTGGCGAGCACAGCAGAAACTGCGCACGATCGCGGAATCCTGCCTCCGCCAAAGCCTTGCAAACCGGAAGTCCAACAATATATTATACTATACTTGTATAATTCAATTCTTTACTTTTCTATCCAGCCATTCATAAAACAAATTCCCAATTTTTCTTCTTGTTCTCTAATCGCCATTGTCAATCTACTCATTTCTGCATTATTTTCTTAATTATTTCCTCCTCTGTCGGAATTTTTTCATTTCTCCAATTTTGTGCAAATACAATCCTAGCTGCTGTTAATATATTGATAATCAAATACATTAACTCTTTGTTATAACCCTCAGGCAAAATTCCCAATAAAAATGTCTCTGGTTTTAAGTCTACAGGTTGTTTTATCATCTTCTCCAGCCACATGTGTATTCTAGTCCACTACTTTTTAGCCTCTGTACATGTCCACCACATGTGGTAGTATGATCCTGGTGACTTCTGAGCACCAAAACATTTTTGTGTAGGGACACTCAACCTATGGGCCCTCCTTTTAAGAGATACTTTTGCTTTAGTACAGACTTTTCTAATCCTTCCACAGCTTGGTGACTTCCAAATGTGTTGGAATTGCATGCAGGTTGGGAATTCTGGGGGTTGAAATCCCAATATATCTGAAAGATACCAGACTGGGGGAAACTGATTTGTTGATTTTCTCGTTTACTTCAGGTGAGGAAACTTTCAGCAACACTCAAAAAATATTAGGGGACAGGGATGAAAGAAATGGCATCCTTGTCCCAGTCATTTTTGTGAATGATATACTGGAGATTTTTCAGAAGAAAGCACAAGTACAAAGAGAAACGGTTAGAATTTAAAACCACTTGCAGATCTCCAAGTTTGTGATCTACTTAATCTACACTATTAAAACTTCTCTTAGGTTCTCTGAGCAGAGAGGTACAGAACCATAATATCACTGTTTCTCAACGTCGGCAAATTTAAGATGTATGGATTTCAGCTAGCAGAATTCCCCAGCCAGATTTGCAGCTTAAACTTGCCGACATCAAGTAACACTCTCATATCTCTTTGGGGATTTTACATGATTTCCAGACCTCCTTTTGGGGGGAGGGGACACCATAAATTGTCTACTTATGACAATTGACTCCAACATTTCTGTTGCTAACCATGATGGTTGTTAAGTGAATTGTGGCCCACTTTACAACTTTTCTTGCCACAGTTGTTAAGTGAATCACTGCAGTTGTTAAGTTAGTAACCAGTTAACTGGTTGTAAACTGAATCTGGTTCCCCAGTGACTTTGCTTGTCATAAAGTCACAAAAGGTGAACACATGACCCTAGGACACTGCAACTGTCATAAATAAATGCCAGTTGCCAAGTGTCTGAACTGTGATCATGTGACTACAGGGATGCTGCAAGGATCATAAGTGAAAAACAATCATATATCACATTTTTTCAGTGCCACTGTAACTTTGAATGGTTACTAAACAAATGGCTGTAAGTCAAGAACTTACTCTGTGCATTAGCTATCCAGTTATCCAGGTTCTGGCATTTAGTAGTTGCAGGGAAGGATCTCTAGAAGTGCTATCAGAATGGCATATGCAGTCTACTTTTCTTTAAGCTCTCAGAGCAGAGAGATACAGATATTACATTACTTAATGTCCCTTCCATACAGAATTTTACATGACTTCCCCATTCTGAAACCACTTCCCCATATTCCTTCCTGCAGTCACCATGTGCTGGGACCTGAATAGCTCCTAAAGTTAATGCACTGCACTAACTTGCACTAACATGCAAATTTCCACAAGTTGAATTGGTAGAGGCTTTGAACCCTGCAGAATAGCATCTTCCTATCTCAATAAGGATAGAACTGTTCATACAGTGCTTTTTGGTGTCCAATGTAACTATTAAAACTCATGTGGCATTCTTTGATTTTTTTCCTTCAAAGAAAAAAACTCACAAATATGAGGAATCTTCACACTTGTTTGATATCAACTCATCATTCTCAATGATATGTTATGCTGTAATCTGTCATCCAGCCCCAATGATTCCTAAAAATTATTCCAATGAAAAAAACGTGGTATTCTCCTATCATTATAATCTGGGGTAGAATTCTTTTTCACTCCAAATCCAATGAATTTCACCCATTTCTGATTTGCACATCCTGCTGTCTAAGCTTGACCTCCTCCTCCTTTTTCTCATCTCCTGTTTCCCCAGAGGTTGCAGCTTTACACAAACAGTAAACAGTTTCCTTCCTTCCTTTCACCCATCTCTTCCCACTTATGACTGTATGACTGTAACCTTGTTGCTTGTATCCTAACAGTTTTTATTGACTGTTTCCTAGTATGATTTAATTGCTTATTGTACCCTATGACTATT